AAGTTCAGAACAGCTGGTGTAGCAACAGTAGTCGCTCTCAACAGAATGACACTTGAAAAAACAACAAGCATGACACTTACCAAGGAGTAGAAAAAAAATGAAAGCGGAGTTGTTTACAACTTGCCGGGGAGTGTCAGGGATCTAGCAAGTAACTATCGGAAAGGTTTATAAAAACATCAACAGTCCTTATAGAACTTAAGCACAAAAAACGTGAACTGGTAACCATGGCTGATCACTATGATGCCTTCCAATGATGAAATGCTATTATTTGCAAGGCACTGTGACAGTTGTTGAGCACATGGAATTATCTTCATTGTAGATTGTTTCAGGCCTGAAACACTAAACCACAGAGTATGGTAACAAAGAAAGACCTCAGAAGGGTGTAATTATTAACTGGTAATTGCCCTGGACTGATCTATCGGCCTCCTTTCACAGCGGCATTTCTTTTTGCTGTCAGAAGGTCGTCGGCAATTTAATTTTATTTTCTACTTCCCTATTTCTCCTCTATTCTGTTTTTGTGCCTTAGCTATTTTTCCCTCTCACTCTTGTTTTCTGTTATGATTTATAGTATAGTGATAAAAGATGGGACGAGGATTTGGGCTCAAGGACAAATTTCACAATTAATTACACAGTGACCTGGTAAAATTATGTAAAATGCGGGTCATTGTGATACCATTGTAATTAGCTAGTTATTAATAATAGGAAGGAGCAAAGGGAAGGCCAAACATTATAGAAGAGAGAGACCAGACATGTCATTTGGAAGCTGCAACTTTGCACTCCCCGGGGAAACCACTGGCCCATTCCCTGCAGAATTACTGGGGGAAGAGGTCCAACAAAGGAGAGATAGATGCATGTGCAGTGAAGCTGGGGTGACTAGGGAAGTTACTTGCCTGTCAGTCAAGCCTGGGGAACCATGCATTGGCCAGAATGGGCAAAGCCAATGCAAACCTGAGAAAATTTGAGACTACATAATAGTTCACTCTCTTGTTACTCTGGGCTCCCTCTTGGCTCCTCTCCTGTTGTTCTCTTATGTGGCTCTTGGCTTGTGGGTCTCTCTTGTACCTGTTTCCTTATATTTGCCCCTATGGCCATCTGGACCGCACATGCAATGGACTAACGGACTGCAGCTAAGCTAGCCTGATGCTGGACTGGAGTGTGCAAATATGGAATGAAAATTCTGGACACTGGCTCCAATTTTAGCCCTGCTAACGCCAAAAAGGGACTATTTCCTTGGCGGGACTGGGGGAAATGAAACCTTTGAAACTCAGGGGTTTGACACCACAGAAATAAAACTCTACACTATATCTCATCCTCCTGTGCAAGTCTCAGAATTTTTTTTTTCAGGCTATCGCAAGAAATCCACCCCCACTAGCAACCGGTGCGTTGAAGGGCTCTTTTATCCTGTGTAGTGGGCCGACTGGTACCTCTAGAAGGAAATGTTCCATCCTAATCCCTGTGAATAGTACCTTTTCCAGCAAAAGATGTGATTACATTAAGGATCTTGAGAGGAGAGCCTTATCCTGGGTTATCAGCGTGGACCCTAAATACAATCACATGAGAAAGGTGGAGGGAGTTTTGAGGCACAGACACAGAAGAGAAGGTGATGAGAAGACAGCACAAAGAGATGCAGCCACCACATGCAAGGAATGCCGACAGCCAACAGAAGCTGGAAGAAGCAAAGAACAGATTCTCCACTGAATCCTTGATGTCAGACTTCTGGCCACCAGTACTATTAGAGAGCAGATTTCTATGTGTAAAGTCACCAAGTTTGTAGTAGTTGTTACAGCAACCACAAGAAATGAATACTCTGGTAATCTCTCCAGGCAAAGAATAAGCTAAGGAATGTGCAAGTGCTTTGTAAACAGAAGTGCTATACAGATACAATCTCTCTTTACTGCTCTCTTTCTACACGGACCTTTAAGACCATGCAAATAGCCATCATCATGAATCAGTCTTCATGGAACAGATGGAAGGGGAGTTCCCAATGTTGGTGCTCCTTCTCCAACATTTCCCATCTTGTTGTCCAAAGAAATCTGGGAATAATTTTTTATATCTTTCTCCGTCTTATCTCTCACACTCCATCAATTATCAAGTCCTGTGGATTCAACTTCATATGCATCTCTTGAACTGTTTATTCGTGTCACCCTGAACATAAGGCCTTTGAATGTGCTGTTTCCTTGGCCTTCTCACCACAACAGAAGATTAGCTGCATAGTGGCCATTTCCCTGTTAGGTTAACCCATAATCATGCTCTAATTATGTAGATAACAAGTTTATATATCTGCCAGGTGCAAGTTAATATAAAGATGGCACTGATGACACAGAATAATAGAAACTAATATCAAAAAGCACCAATTTTACTACAGATTCAATGAAATCCCTATCAGAATCCCAGCTGGCTTCTTTGCAGAAATTGACAAGCTGACCTTAACATATGGAAACACAAAAGATCCAGAATAGCCCAAACAATCTTGAAAACACAGAACTAAGTTGGAGAACTCTCACTGCCAGTTACAAAACTTACTACACAAAGCTACAGTGTGACAACAATGTGGTACTGGCATAAAGACAGATATATAGGTCAGCCTAATAGAATTAAGACTTCAAAAAATATACCTATGGTTAACTGATTTTTTTACAGAGGTAGTAACAAATGGTGCTCGGACAACAAATATCCATATTTTAGAGAAAGGAGATGTACCCCTACCTTACACCATATATAAAAATTAACTCAAATGGATTATCAAACACTTAGAAGAAAACGGGGTAAATCTTCATGAACTTAAATCTGGCAACTGTTGCTTAGATATGACATCAAAAACATAAGCAACAACAAAAATATAACATCAAAATTAAAACTTTTGTGCTGCAAAATGATACCATTGAGTGGAAATGGGCTTAGTCTCACTATTTTCAAACTTTTTTTTCTCATCACTTCGTCTTTATAGAGAACAATGGCTAGTTCTAATTTATTTTTGTTCTTACATTTTCTTGTTTTTACTATTCAGCAACAAATTGAATCAACAATCAATTCCCATTTTTCATAAAAAAGGGGATACTTCCCTTCTGAATCCAATATAACGCTTCAATAATAGTATTGGCTAAGGGTTGTGACATGTCTCATTCAAAGACATTCAGGTTCTTATTACAGATGCAAAGTAGAAGCCCTACAAAAGCAAAAACTGAGGGCTAGGAGATAGCTTTGGGGAAATATCCTGATGGTTTTTTTTCTGTTTCTTTTTTTTTTTCTTGATTCTAAAGAGAGGGAGAGGGATAGAGGAACATTGATCGGTTGCTTCCCACACATAATATCCTGAGTTTTTTAGGTCAAAGTAATATTTGATACTGTTTACATAAATTCAGATGTTATTCAAAATTAAGATAAAATTTCTACACTTTTAACAAATCTCCACTATCCTCACCTAAGTAGTCTTATAGTCAGGGTACAAATTCCAGCTTGGAAAAAACTACTGGGCATCTGTATGTACCAGTAAAATTCCTATTCATTTTAGTTACACAAGTATTGAGGATCTGTTCTGACTGGTGACCAAGGGGAAAAAATCCAAAATTGAGTAGAATGGTCCTAAGGCTTCAACAATTTCTGAATAATTAATTTAAAAAATTTGGAGCCCTGGCCAGTGTTGCTCAGTGGTTAGAGTGCAGGGCCATGCACCAAAAAGGGCCAAGGGTTCAATTCCCGGTCAAGGGCATGTACCTAGGTGCAGGTTGGATCCCCAGCCCAGTAGGGGCACATTTGGGAGGCAACCAATTGATGTCTCTCTCACATTGATGTTTCTCTCTCCTCCCCTTAAAAATCAATGGAAAAGAATCCTCAGGTGAGGATTAATAAAAAATAAAAATAGTAACTTGGAGCCCTCTTTTCATCACATAATCCTACTCATGATTCAATGCACAAAATTTCTAATAAATATACAACCTTAAAGATGGGTATAACCAAATCAAGTTTAATGTGAAGGCCAGTAGCTGACAGACGGTAAGGTCAAAATTATGTATTCCCTTCTTCCCCTATCTTTTATACATGATGAGTGCGGGAGGAGGAATGAAATGGGACAAACTTTAAATTAATACAGCCAAAAAAATAATAAATTCAAATAGTTTCTTACACACCACTTATATAAATCAGAAACCATTATGTAAGGATGATTTAAATATTAGGGTGATTTTTAAATGTTTATTTAAAATCCTTATTTAGGGCTAATTATATTTAGCTCCTTAGCCAGTAAAATATATACATTCATATGTTTTAATGTAGTAGGCCCTCCATTATCTGTGGATTCTACATGCATGGACTAACTGCATTAAAAATATTTGAAAAGTTCTTGTTGCTGATGTTGTACTATGCAGTTATAGGACTAGATGGGTGTGTATACTAAATATGTACAAATTTTTTGTCATTATTCCCTAAACAATACATTATAACAACTATTGAGTATAACTATTTTATATAAGGGACTTAAGCATCTACAGGTTTTGGTGTCATGGTGAGAGGTCCTGGAACCAATTCCCCACAGATATGGAGGGTCAACTCTCCTAGAAAATGTTTTGTTTCACGTATTTTCCATTAAATATAATTAATGATTTAATCAATTACCAAAAGTACTTTATTTGTGAACAATGTGAAAAGTAATGATACTAGCTTTGTACAGTTTTACTTTCTGTTTGCAAAGTCTTACAAATTCAAAGTGATACTAAATATGTTCATTTTCTTAGTCTTTCCTTCCCAAAGGTTCAATTTTAAAAATATTACTGCTTTAAAACTTCAATAGTCTGTGCTTATAATATTTTCAAATTTGTCTGTAAGAGCTTGGTGCAGGGAGAGTGGCTGTGAGAGAGGAAAGAAAGGAAGAGAATATTCTCACAGTTAATATTGATAAAATTATGAAAATCAATGGGTACTATCACTTAATATATAAAAACTTCCTGGTGGTGACTAATTTTATGTAAGGTAAATGTCAGAAAAAAATCAGTAAAATTTGCTAGTTACTTTAAATCAACTTATATTTTAATTCAGAAATTTAAATACACACATTTGTAGCAACTATAAAAAATACACCTTGTTTTTTAAAAATGGCATTTTTAAGAAGGGAGTTTTAGCCAAAAGCAATAGCAAAATTTACATGATTACGGTAGGCTGAATCTTCACACAATATCCTTTAAACATCAGTAAGTAGAATTATCACACAACCCTCTCCTGCCATCAAATTATTTCAAACCTAATACTAGTCTAATGAACAAAAGTATAGAAATCTCTTTATGTCTCTGAACAGCATATGCTCAGAAAAGCATAAACACCACTTTCAATTCTTCAGCATCTTTCCCCGTAGCACACTCTTCTTTTAGCTCCTACAGCAATTACTCTGTTAAGTCAACTTAGGTCTAAAAAGTAAGGCTTTAGATGAGTGGCCACTGGTTATTGACCTAATTTCTTATTCTTCATAATAGAAAATTTGGACATACTGTTAAACTGGAAGTCATTTGGTATACGCATACCCGTTTTCAACATGTACTTAAATTTACTAAGCAAGGTGTGGACTCAGATTATCTTAATATTTAAAGCATTAAAACTGACATTCTTTTAGAAACAAAGGAAACCAAATAAAATTTGATGTTATCATAAAATGGTTTTGCTCTAGCTCTTTTCACACTTTTTTTTAACTCATTTCTCAACCTCACCCATTCTACATCACAAACACTGACTCCCACATGCTCCTTGGGCTCATCTGAAGCACAGAACACAATGTATGACTTGAATGATTTCTCCATTCTCCTAAATATGGTACATAATCAGTACCATTCTATATGCCACAGGGAATTAGGGCTTAATCTCTCCCAGAAACCCCGTTGAGGAAGGCTACGATAGACCCTAGCACAACTCTTCTTTCCCAACTCCTCTCCCCAAGGTATCTATTAAACTCGTAGCCAACTTTGTCCTGTATTCATAACCACAGGAGAAAATTGTTTAAAAACACCTAACTTGCCGAACCGGTTTGGCTCAGTGGATAGAGCGTCAGCCTGCGGACTGAAAGGTCCCAGGTTCCATTCCGGTCAAGGGCATGTACCTTGGTTGCGGGCTCATCCCCGGTAGGGGGCGTGCAGGAGGCAGCTGATCGATCTCTCTCATCGATGTTTCTAACTCTCTATCCCTCTCCCTTCTTCTCTGTGAAAAATCAATAAAATATATATTTAAAAAAAAAAAAAACACCTAACTTCAAATATTTAAATCTTAGGCTTCCTCTTAAATTATATTTTTCTCTTCAGTACATACTTTTGTCAAGTTCAGTATAGAACAAGTCATGACTTTTTACTTACTTTCTATCCACAGAGAACAAAAATCCTCAAAATTTTTCTGTAGATCTAGAATCCAGAATTCCTAAATAGTTTGCATAATATAAGATACGTATAAATTTTGGGTTATCCTATCCTTATGAACTAATGATGAAAGATTAATTGTTTTGCTCAAAAAGGAAGTGTGAATTTTGAAAACTTTTGCTGACTCTCAAGAGGATAAACAAGTGGTAAAAGATGGAAAGGTTTTTGTGATATGTGCTAAATGGAAAACTCTTAAGATTCACTTACTAAGTCATAGGAAATAATTGAAGAGAATCTCATTCACACTAAATGGAACTCCATTATCATACAAAATAATTTGAAACAAGATTATTTTTCTTGCTAACACTGTGGAGCAACAGTTTGTTTAGCTTCTTCTGTGACTTGACCTTTTTCCTCTTAAGACAATGGTGACAAAGATTCTAAAACAAGAACCTCTCTATCAGTTAAAAAACCTATCCCAACATATTATCATACTACACTATACTGTAGATCATGGGTTGGCAAACTTGTTCTGTAAAGAATCACACAGTAAAAATTTTAGGGTTTGCAAACTAGTTTTTGAAGTAACTCCTCAACTCTGTCACTGTTGCACAAAAGCAGCCATAAACAACAGATAAATTAATGAGTATGGCTGTATTTCATACTCATTCATTATTTATGAACACTGAACATATTAATTTTCATGTGTCTTGAAATATTCTTTTTTTAAAATGGCCAACACCATTCTTAGCTCATAGGCCATGAAAAGCAGGCAGTGGGCTGGATTTGGCCCATGGGCAGAGTTAGCTGTCCCTTATATAGTCTTTTATCTTATATAAAATGTTTTAAAATTACAGGTTCTAAGTCTAAAGACTTTGGAAACTTGTTTCTGGATCTCTCATTTTAAAACTTACCAGACAAGTTCTCTCTGGATAAATATACTCACATGAGAGAGAAAAAATCAGAATATAAATTCCTACTTAAAAAAAAAAAAAAAAAGACAGAAAGCTGTAAAACAAATGTTTTACCTTAAACATATAATTAGGAAACAAAAATTGTATTCTATGAAATATAAAATAATATGTATTGATTTAGTATATACTTCTTAGTTTTTTTTTACCTTAGAAAAAAAGACAATGAAGAAAAGGTTCACAAATCTCTCCATCTTTTGTACAAAAAATTACAACTGACACCAGCAAGCCCTTGCCTGTAGAACCATCAGCTCTGAATATAAAGTACACCTAGGGATTGGAGCTTACCTAAATGAGCTCTGGGTGCTCTTTAAAAAATGCACAATTCATTATAGAACACTCTGGCTCTACAACTTGGGACACTTCTGAATAGGAAACCCCTGCCTCCATAATATAAGGAAACAAGAATACTCTTTCCACAGTCATCAAATACTATAAAAAAACTTCACAGTCTGACTCACCTTTATCAAAGGTAAAATGTTACTGATACATTTCATGATTATTTTGATCCTCAGTAGTTGCTAAACACAAAATAAATTTTGGATGAACTTTTCTATGTTTGAGTTTTCCAAAGCAAGATACCAATACAAAATGTACTGAACTGGCAGAAGTCCATGGGCTAAAGAAAAAAGAATTAATTATAAAATGTTGACCAGCTTTATCCTTTTAATTTTATAAGTTTCAGATACTGAGACCTAATTGGTTTCTTGTGTCTATCCATTATGGACATAACTCAATCTTCTATTTAATATTCCTCAGTGCTTTTTGATTGGGGCTTCACTTTGCGACGAAGAAGATCTTCACGTCCAACTTCAACCATTTGTTCTTCCCAAGATTTGATTTCACTGTAATAACGAGCTTTATCATCTTCAGCAAGTTGAATATATACCTGAGAAAAAGTGTAATTGTTAAAATGATTTCTTCAGAAGAATCTTTGCCATTGATTTCTGAAATGCTTCCATATATACTATAAAAATTACCTTCTTCTACATGTGTAAAGGGGGACTGGAGAAGAATGTTTTTGTGAGATAAGGTTAGAGATAAAGATTTGTATTAATTAAATTGTTACAACTTTAGGGCTTGAGATGTGGGGAAGGAGCAGAGGCACAGTGTGACTGTCACTGCATACACTGGACACTTAATTTTGTGTGACATTGTTTTAAATATCAATTTTATTTGCAGTTAAAAACTACCAAAAGAAAAAAGCCAAATTGATTCTAGGAATATGAAATTATTTAAAAATACTTTTACTGTATTATAAGTAATATAAGGTCGTTTTCACATGAATCAAGCCTTGCCCTAATACAGCGGTTCTCAACCTGTGGGTCGCGACCATCAGAAAACACATATAGCATATCAGATATTTACATTACGATTCATATCAGTAGCAAAATTACAGTAATAAAGTAGCAACGAAAATAATTTTATGGTTGGGGGTCACCACAACATGAGGAACTGTATTAAAGGGTCGCGGCATTAGCAAGGTTGAGAACCACTGCTTTAATACATTCTCTCACAGATATTCTAACTAGATATTTGAGAATAAAACCATACATACTTGCTTTTCAGCACTGGAGAGATTTTTCCAGCTTTCATGTATAGATTTCAGCCTTACCTGTAAAACAACATATGTTTAAATAGCAGATCCAGGGACTTAAGTGATTAAAGAAAATTTCTTTTTATTACTCAATTCAAAAAAACTCAGATACTAAAAATCATCATTTTTACATCATTTTATCATACTCAGATATTAATGCCTTATCAATTCTTAATATCTTTCTAAATTAAACTTAAAATATACAAAATGACTGGAATAAAGACACTTATCTTTTTTACTGAGATATAATTTTCATATAACCTATTAGTTTCAGGTGTACAACATGATTCAATATTTGTATATATTCTGAAATGATCAACACAGTAACTCGTTAACATTTGTCACCATAATTTTTTTTTCTTATGAGAACTTTTAAGATCTACTCTCTGAGCAACTATCAAATTTATTAACTCTAGTCACCATGCTGTACATTACACCTCCAAGACTTTTTTATAAGTGGAAGTTTATACCTTCTAACCACCTTTACCCATCTCATCCACCCCCATGCCTGGCAATCACCAATCTGTTTCCTTATCTATGAGCTCAGTTATTTTTTTAGATTCCACATATAAGTGAGATCATACGGTCTTTGTCTTTCTCTGGTCTAATTTATTTCATCCTATATTTTATGGTTGGGGGTCACCACAACATGAGGAACTGTATTAAAGGGTCGCCCAATCAAAGCATAATATGCTAATGATATGCTAAGGCCACTCAACTGCTCGCTATGAGTGCACTGACCACCAGGAGGCAGACAGTCCATTGGTCGACCAGTCGCTATGATGTGCACTGACCACCAGGGGGCAGATGCTCCAACTGCTAGATTAACTTGCTGCTGGGGTCTGGCAGATTGGGACTGAGCAAGACGGTCCAGACATGCATGCCCTCCCACGATCCCTCCCCAACTGGCCAACCTCCCGCATCCCTCCCCGGCCCCGATTGTGCACCGGTGGGGTCCCTCAGCCTGGCCTGAACCCTCTCGCAATCCAGGATCCCTCGGGGGATGTCTGCACTGGTGGGGTCCCTCAGCCTGGCCTGCGCCCTCTCGCAATCCAGGATCCCTCAGGGGATGTCAGAGAGCCAGTTTCAGCCCAATCCCACAGGCCAGGACTAGGGACTCCACTGGTGCATGAATTCGCACACTGGGCCTCTAGTTTAGTATAATGCTTTCAGGATCAATCCATGTTGTTGCAAATGGCAAGATTTCTTTCTTTTTTTTATGGCTAAATTACATGTCAGTTTCTTTCTTTCTTTTTTTTTTTGAGAGTCATAGTTTTATTGCCAAGTTTCACGGACGGGGCTCAAATCCGCCCGATCTCCTTCAGCTTGGCCACCAGGTCCTCCGTGGTCTCCACCTTGACGCCAGCCGTGCGCTGGGGCGGGTCCTCCACACTCACCACAGTGAGCTTGGAGGTCAGGTCCACGCCCAGGTCCCCGGCCTTGAGCACCTTGATCTTCTTCTTAGCTTTCATGATGTTTGGCAATGTGGCATATCGGGGCTCATTGAGCCGCAGGTTAGCAGTCACCACAGCAGGCATCTTCAGGCACACGGTCTCCAGGCCCCCATCAACCTCCCGCTCCACTTTCAACTTGTCCCCTTCCAGTGTCAACTGGGAGGCAAAGGTGCCCTGTGGCCAGTCCGTAGGGGGAGTGGGCAGATTAGTTCAGGGCAGGCCCCGAGCAGTCCTCCATTGGCCACTCCGTGGAGTGCAGCCGAGGCACGAATGAATGACAACAGAAGAGGAAGCATCCTGCAAGGTGATCTATAGACATCAAGTTCAAATACAGGGGGGTGGATGGGGGGAGCAGGCATGGCTCAGTGGTTGAGCGTCGACCCATGAACCGGAAGTCACCTGTTCGATTCCGGTCAGGGCACATGCCTGGGTTGCAGGCTCAATCCCCAATAGGGGGTGTGCAGGAGGCAGCCAATCACTGATTCTCTCTCACCATTAATTTAGTTTCTATCTCTCCCTCTCCATTCCTCTCTGAAATCAATCCTATATAATAAAACCCTAATATGCAAATTGACCGAACTGCGGAATGACCGGTCGCTATGATGTGCACTGACCACCAGGGGACAGACTCTCAATGCAGGGGGAGTGCCATTCAGCCAGAAGCTGGGCTCACGGCTGGTGAGTGCAGTGGTGGTGGCGGGAGCCTCTCCCGCTTCCACTGCAGG